TCCTGCCTATGCAGGGGGTCGGACTCGATGATCTATTGAGGTCCCTTCCGACCCTAACATCTATGAATCTATGAATCTATGAATCTCTACCAACCATAGGGTCTGAGACAAGTCTGAAATCCTGGTTCTGAGATAGAGTGAGCAATATTCCCATATTTGATTGGCCATATTCGATTGGCCATGTCTGTACAACCTCCCTAAAAAATCTGGGACTGCTACTGAGAAAAAAAAACTCTCCCCACCTGCATCTAGGCCTGGTAATTAGGCAGAGTGGATGGATCGTCAGCAGGGGTTCCTAGGACAGACCTAAGTACATTAGTTTCTTTTATTGCTAAGGAATTGTATACCTCTACATAATCCCTTGGTTTTTGCAATATAAACCCTGCAGTTTGAAAGCCCTTTTCTATTTTGTGTACCCAGGCACCAGAGTCAACAGAAGTTGGGTCTTTGCACCTAGGGTAGACTACAAAGTCCATAGATGAGGATAATAAAAGGCTCTGCCACCCTTTAAGTCAGAGATGGTACATCTATACATGCAAACAATTCAGGAGCAGTTTACTCTTGAGAAAACTACTCAAGAGTAAACTCTCCTGGGCACGTGTCTACACATGCAGGGATGTAGAAGCAGATTTGCTGCTCCTAGCATCAGACTACTCCTGCTTCCTGTGGTCCTGCAACTGGCCCCTGAAGCAGCCAGGGGGAGCTCCAGTCTCCCCCTGGGTGCTAGCCCAGGGGCCAAGAGACAGCTGTCTCCTGGTGGGGGGAGTGACATTTCTCCCTGCCCCTGGGAGCTGCCTGCTGCCAGGGCAGGTTCGGCCACTAGAGCCCAGGTGGAGACAATGTCCCTCTGCCCTGGCAGCAGGGAACTCCCAGCCCCTGCTTCATGATCATGGGGCTGGTGGTCACAGGCAATCCTTATCACAGGCTTGTCCTTGGCTGGGAGATCCTTCTCATGAAGCTGGCATGGGGAAATAAGGATCTCCCAGCCTGGGTCCTGTGACCATGGGACTCAAGCTGGGAGATAAAGATCTCCCAGCCCTGGCCCCAGAACCATGGAGTTGATGCTGGGAAATAAGGAACTTCCAGCCCCAACCCCGCAATTGTGGGACTCAGGATGGGAGAGAAGGCTCTCTCAGCCCCAGGATTATGGAGTGAGGGCTGGGGGATCCCTGCTGCCAGGTTGGGGGGACAGTCAGGTGGCAGCTCCTGGGGGCAGGAAGGAATCTCCTGCCCCTGTTGCCCGGCTCACCGGGAGTACATTTGCTTCCATTCAGGCATCTACATATGCACTACTTCACAGTTACTAATCACAAGTAAATTTGCTATGTCATTTGCAGTTAGCAAATTTATGCACAACTAGAACTAATTACTGCGCAGTAAGCATCTGCACATGTAGATGTGGATGCTCACTGCACAGTAATTAGCACAAGTGCACAGTAAAGCATCTTGCGTAGACACACCCAGAAACTCCTAAGGGGAGGTCCATACAGAACAGTACAAATCTAACAGCTGTGTTATGTTAGTGGGTGGGGATT